AAGCAGAGTGCCACCGCTCGGCTTTCATCTTGGCCCAGGAGTCAAGCAGGACCGCCAAGTGTCCACACAGTAAGCTGAGTGTCTTGTTGGTGTTCATGGCAAACACGATAGCCGAGCATCTAATGTGTTGACCACAGTTCAGCTTAATTTTAGCACAGGATAGCTGTATGCCAAGATGACCCTTTTTTTTTGCCGCACCACGAGGCCCAACCGAGATTGACGCAGCCGCCTCCCCTGCTTAGTCTCGCCCGATGGCCGAGCGAGCCGATCCCCAAATCCGGGACAGCGCCGGCTAGGCAATCTTCTTCCTCCTCCGCCTCATTCCGTCCATTCTTCCTCGCTCCATAGCCGTAGGATCGCCGTAGCACCGCTGCGGACTGGCCAGCCAGCCGGCCGGTCGAGGGGTTGGAGCGGGAGTAAGGAATTACCTAGGGAGTAAGGAATCGAGATATGAATCCTTGACCCCACAAATTTGTCTGACCCCAGTACCCCACAGCTAAACATTGTCTGGTCTGAATTAATTGTGTGCCAATTAGTTCTCAGGCAAGCAAAGATAGATCAGTTTTGTTGAAAAAAACTGTAGGGTACAATATTTAGTTTCCATTTTGGCGAGACAATGTTTGGCTGTTTTTGATATGAAAGGAAGGACAAAAAGGAATGTACAGCCCCCACAACACAAAGTGCACCACGCACCAAAAAAGATAAAAAGAAGCAAAGCTACTAGTACCAGATCCAGAGGATATATGCCTTGCTTCACCTCAGAAAAAGAGCATGAATTCAGACAGAATTCACATGCCTTGCCTCAGGAAAGAAGAGAAGAAAGATTATATTCATTGCCATCTCTCGATCAGATATTCTTGCTTGCCTTGTAGTCAGGTAGGTAGGTTTCAGGTTCTCAGACAGCACCTGTTGCCGGCTAATATTCCTTGCTGGCGATCCAAGGAAAGGAAAGACATCATCTCAAGTGCCCAAGTTAAGTATCCATCTCAGTGCAAATGAGTACTTAAGATGCCAATGCAAATTTGCAGCTGCGCTAACTATATATACACACGTACCTGACAAATGGTGCGTGTGCTATCAATCGAAAATTAATATACTACACACACATCAGTTGCATGCAAACAGAGCCACAGAACAAAATGCGACCTTCCGAGACAGCCCCTGAGTTGCTGATGATGGCTGCTCGGGAGGGCGATTCGGCACGATTGCGTGATCTTCTGGGCAACCACGATGCAACTGCGACTGCAGTTCAGCTCGTTGTGCCCATGCCTGAAGTCATCGTCAACATTGAGGAAAACTCCCTCGCCATCAGCAGGGTGGACTCAATTCTCCATGTGGTTGCAGCTTGTGGAGACACTGCTGAGTTCCTGGAGAGCGCAAGTCTGATCCACAGCAAGGCCAAGCACCTTCTAGGCACCGGCAATAACAAGGGTGACACGCCCTTGCATTGCGCAGCCGGAGCTGGGAGGATCAAAATGCTCTCTCACCTCATCCATCTGGCGATGGCGGATGGGGGTGGTGACGCGAAAGTGAAGGCAGTGCTGAGGAAGCAGAACAACAAAGGCGAGACGGCCCTCCATGAGGTCCTTCGCCTGTCCGACAAGAAGATGGTCAGGGGAATGGTTGAGAAGCTAATGGAGGTCGATGCCGAATTGGCTCGCCTCCCGATTGCTAATGGCACCTCGCCATTGTACCTGGCTGTCTCGCTAGGACACGATGATATTGCGGAGCTGCTGTATTCTAAGGACAAGGCGTTGTCCTACTCTGGACCAGATGGACAAAACGTCTTGCACGTTGCGGTTCTCAGGAGCCAAGGTTTGTATTATTGTTGTACGATTTTCGAGGAGTATTTCTGTTCCGTCATATCATATTGTACGCGTTTTTAAATTTCCAACTAGCATAGTGGCCAGTGCTAATGCGTGGGCAGCATATTTAGTTTATGCAATTATTGTTTAAAACATAACAATCTTGTTTTGAAGCTATACTACTGGAAAGTTCATTTATTAAGAAATGGACTTTACAGTTTCAAGGAAAATTGCTGGTAGCATGTTGTGTGTGTTATGATTGTCGTGATAAAAGTCATAAGATATAACAAAAAAAAGAGTATGCAAACTTTGGAATCTCTTACATTTATTTGTTTTAGTTTTGGGAAATCTTTATTTCAATTGATTTTGTATGCGTAAATTTAATTAGATTTCCAATGGGCTATGCCTTGACACGGCCAAACACGTTTGCCAATGCACAAATTTTACTTCAGATTGAATGAAAGTTGGCACGGGGGCTTGATCATGCCCCAAAGGGTGGCACTGGTGTCTTTAATGTTAAATATCAATAATTATTGCATATTTGAACGAACATCGATTAGCTAGAAGCATTACAACAAGCATATCACAATTACCTCGAGTGATGGCATATACGGTAATTTATTTATAACATTTTCAAATAATTATAGAATTATAAGCAACATTGATGATAAGTTGATGTATTATTTCACAATGATTCTAGTTTGTCTATTTAGATAAACACACTGCAAAAAAGAATGTCTGTTTACCCTTTTATATATGTTAGGAATATATTGTATTTTATAAAAAAAATCATATTCTAATAATGTAAGATATGTAATACCTGGTCTTTCAATCATTCTCAACTTTGTATTTTGGATTCCATCTAGTTCACAAATAAGTGATATTTTGTCACATAGCTTGATCCAGTCATGTAGAACTCTGAGCACCAATATCATGTAAATTATTTGGACTAGAAACTATCACATATATAGTTTTTTCTTGAAATGCTTTTACAAAGTATTATAATTGTCATAGGTATCAAGCATATATTACAATAAATTTTAGTGCTTGATGCTGGAAATCATGTCAATATCCAAGCGTTTCTTCATTGTGATATGGAGGGAGTAAAACATTTATGTATCAGTTTTTTTCTCCTATAAAGGGTGCTTTTATTAACTCATAATGTAGCATCAATAATGTACAATGCATAATGAGGATACACCCAACCTCTGCATAACTAGGATACAAACAGCCAACACAAGCTCACGCACACTATAGAAATAAAATGCCTACAACATTAAAGTTATATAAGACGGAAACTATGCCTATAGCAGACCACGTATGGAGCCAATCTGTAGAACGGTACATAACATGCAAAGCATATGAAATTTTATCATTAGAAATCATATTATTTCTACATAGCCAAGGCAACCATAATATGGAAAATGCTCCCACTCTTATTAGTATATTAAACTTGTTAGGTATGCCATCGAGCCGGTATATATATTGGCAACACTTTGGGCGGATGAAAATTGGATAATACATTGAATGGCTGATCACACAGAACATGGAAAATTGCGATTAAAAGATGTGTTTAATTGTGTCGCCATAAGGACCAAAATGACACTACCCTGCCAATTGCATCGAGTGAGGTTGTTCTTTGTCAGCACAACCCGTCGGTAAAGGTATCACATGACAATTTTTACTTTTAGTGGTAGTTTTCACTTCCATCTTTTGTTGTTATCCACTGGAGTCTCCGAGTGCGAAAACACCTGGTACTTGTAGTAGGCCGTGAAAGACCAATTTTGATTAAGATTCCAGTGAAGCTCGTCCAGGGCCTGGGTCAGGTGGAATAAATTCAAGCAGCCAACCAAATCCTGCTTGAAAGATATATCCGGCCGGGACGAGCTCAGAACTTGCACAAGTGCAACACTCTTATCGTGTGAAACGCGCTACAAGGTTGGGTACCGCTCCCAGAGAGTACCATTTTGCAGCCACTTGTCCTCCAAGAAGTGAATCTCAAAGCTTTCCTTGATCAGAAAGGATCCAAAGCAGAAAATATGTTATTGTGTCGTCATCAGCCCTGCCTAGAAATGTGAATCATCAGGTTTGCAATATGCATGCAACAAAAATTTTGGGCCCAAATATAATTTTGCGCAAGAGACTTAGCCAGACCCCTTCCTTGGTAAGATATTTATATGACCATTTCCTAAGTAAGGAATTGCTTTTGAAGTGGAGATCATGTATAACAAGTTCTCCCTGGTCTTCTGGTCGACAAACCATGCTCCATTTGATTATACTATATATTTTTATTTTTGATGTCAACTTGCCAGAAGAATGTGGATCTGTATTAATCCAGCCTTTGTACGTCCCTATTCGGTAGTACAATTTTTTTTTAATACAGCTTGTCCTCCAACCGAGAGCAACTTGCATTTACAAATACGTAGGCCTTTCTCCAGGTACTCTTCAACGTACTTCTACTCTGCATTAGTGATGCACCGGTAATGATTTGGAATTCCCAGGTGTATAATATGGAATTGGCCTTGCGCACAACCGAACAAATTGGTGTAATGCGAGGCTACCTCACCGGTTCTCCCAAACAGAACTGTTCACTTCTATGGAAATTAATTTTTGAGACCCCACGTCTTCTCAAAAGCTGAAAGCATTTTTTTTTTTGGAATTCTAGCCTTTTCATGGCAATGTTTCGTAAAAAAATACTGGCATTTGCGTATTGCAAAATATAAATGGACCATCCACAAGACGTGGCACAACCCCTACAACTTGGCCTTCCTGTTTGGCACTCAATGAAAATGGCCAACATGTCTGCAAGAATGTTGAATAATATTGGAGACAATAGATCACCCTGATATAGTCCTTTATTCGTCTAGAAGTAATGGTCATCCCCATCATTGACCTTTATAGGCACATTGACTCCAGCAACCAAATTATCGACCCACACACGCCATTCTCGAAGACGGCCTTCATTCTAAGGGTCTTCTGGAGAAAAAACCATTTGAATTTGTCATAGGCTTTTTCAAAGTTGATTTTGAATATTCCGACGCATATTCTTTCTGTTGCACCTATTGAACGGTCTCACAAAGGATGACTACTCCATCCAGGATATTTCTTCTTTCCATGAAAGTCGTTTGAGATGTCCAAACAACATGGTCGGCAACCGCATTGAGCCTACTAGTCGCTACTTTGGCAAAAAAATTGAAGCTCGCACTAAGGAGATAAATGGGTATGTACTGCTGAATCCGTTCAGCCTCCTTACTATTTGCCAAACAAAATATTTCACAATTTTTTTAGCCTGGATAGGTCTAGTTGGCGAGCATGAAGAGAAATAAACATCTCTATAAGATCGGACTTGAGGACATCCCATATTTCCTAATAGAACTCTGTGAGAAAGCCATCTAGACCCGGAGGTTTGTTGTGCTCTATTTGGAACACTGCACCTCTTTGCTCCACTTCCGGGAAAGGTGTTGTGCGGATGCCATTTTCTTCTGCCTTAATGTATGGTATATCGTCCGTTTGTGACTTCTCGGCGGCTATATGCCCCTCATTCCGAGTCCCAAATGCAGAATTTTAGTGATTTCTGATAAACTCTTTAAGCTCCTATCCTTCGATCCAGCCATCGTCCTATTGGAGATATTAAATAGACCTTTTCCTGTGATGCCCATTGGCAACTATATGGAAATATGTTGTGTTACTATCACCTTATTGAATGAACTAGGCTTTAGATCTCTGGTACCATTTGATTTCCTCTTCTCATAAGAGTTGTGTTATCTACTAATTAGAATAATCTTTAATCCCAATCTCTCGTGAAGATAGAGCATGATTCTCGGCAGTTTCCTCGATGTCATCAATTGGAGCAACGAGATCTTACTTTTTTTTCTAAAAGCCAATGATGTATTTGGCCCATCAAGTTAGGAATTATCGTGTGGCATCGATTTTAAAATTCCATCTATGGATCTGTGTTCAACCAACTGGAAGCCTTCGCCAAATGTTCTTGATCAGATGGGCAAAGCCCTATTTAACCATCCCAATTAAAATTTGAATGGGTGGCTTGCAGCCGAGGGATTCATAGAAGTAGAGTAGAAAATGGTAAGTGCATGGTCCAAAAGAGACTCGATACGCTCAAGTGGACGCACAATTATGAGTGGGTATTTTAGTTTCTAGGCGGTATCCATGAGCAGATAATCAAGTTTTTCAAATGTCGACATTGGGTGATCACTGGCTCAGGTGAACTGGCGACTTGGCAGACTAGCCTATCCTTGGTCAAAACTGACGACTTGGCATACTTTTTCTTTAATCAATATAACTGGTTGATATTACTCAACTTGTGCTCTTTCATTACACATGTATGGACGTAACAAAATTATGCTTAAACGCATGCAATAGCTATCAGTTTTGGGAATAGTGTATTTAAGCATGCATTGTAGGGTCTGGATCATTGATATTGTGTCCTAGTGTATCTTTTTGGTGACACCTATTTCTTATATGTTTGTCTATTGCCCCTACTGTAGTTGTAGGGATGACAAATAAGCTACTACAATGGAACAGGGACCTCAGCAAACAAGGCGACTCACGCAACGGAAGTACGCCTCTACATTTTGCTGCGTCATGTGGTTTCGATCAAGCAGTCGTATCGTTGATAAATGCTGACAAATGTTCAGCATATCGGCCTGACAACAAGGGGTCATTTCCTATACACATAGCAAACAAGGCTTGTGTAATTCGTGTGTTGTTGGAGAAGTGCCCCAACTGCGCAGAACTAAGGGACGCCCAGGGTAGAACCTTCCTTCATGTTGTCATCTGTGACAAAAAAGACACTCTATTTCGCTATGTTTTTGGTCTTTTTCGTGCAAGCCATCAGGTGTGGAGGTTTGCATCGATCATGGATAAGCAGGACAATGAAGGCAACACAGGGTTACACCTTGCTGTCCTTGCTGGGAGAGTACGGACTTTACATTGCTTACTATGGAACAAGGAAATCCAGTTGAATTTACCAAATAATGATGGGAAAACTGCATTAGATCTTGCACTGAGCAAGAAACCCACTGGTGTTCATTTTGGGTTGGTACGTAAATCTGTCTTACTAATTATATTCTTAAAAGAATAGAAAGGTCTAATCTTTCATTTAGTATGTCTGAGTTACAACAGCTTATACTATGGCATTGCTCGTTTGACACTAAATTGGCGCCATAGTGGCTAAATGGTGTTAAATTGGCGTTTAGCATGATACCTCTCCAAACGCTGTAGCACCGAAATATCGGGCTATTTAAAACTATGTTTACAAGTAATTTCAAAGTACATATTATACCCACGTGTTGCTGCGGGAATTGGTTGCAATTATCTCTATGAGGTATGGTTGTATAAAACCTTAGCATTTGGATTAACATTATGAGAACTGAAACTAAAATACATGTACTTTATTGTGTTTTAATGTATGGTTGTAGAATCCTATGACAATATGAGAAATTGGACTAAATACATGTAACTCGTTGTGTTTTATTATTGTATAGTTGTCAAATATTTATTGAAAACCGATTGAATTAAAAATGTTAAAAATTGGTTTATAAACATATGCAAATTCATAATTAAAATTTCAATAAAATCATATAGGTAAAATATATTTGTATATATAAATTACATGTTTAGGGACCTAAAGTATAATTTACCCTTTATATGTCCATAGAAAATGTTAGAAAACCCCAATTTTTGGGTCACAACTAAAAAATACCCTAGTTTTTTTTAGCTAGTTGACATTTTAAGAACTAAACTTATACATTACAAAAGAGGATAGGAGTCCGTTTCTTTTTAGCACCACTACAAAGGAGGTGCATGCACCAGCAGTCAAAACAAACTTATACACACTATGATTTCATTTGGGTTGGATTTTTTTGAAATCATACAACCACTAAACTCATAGTTCAAAGTCGCTAGCCATGAAACATCGGTGTTTTGCGAGTATCATAATAAAATCTATGGGAAATTTATTCTTGATATACTCTGTACCTTGGTTGTTGCAATGATTATTGTTCCTTCATTTTAATGTCGAGTCTCAACTTTTGTCAGGATTCGTGGTATCAGATATACACTCTGCTAGCGGCTGCTGGTGCTAAATATGGTGCTCACCTTAAAGAACACGAGCCTCAACTAAATGAGAAGGAGGAGGCAGACAAGATCAACGGTTACATACCAACCATTGCCATTGTTGCAGCACTCCTGGTAGCGGTTTCATTCACATGCGCTTTCTCCGTACCAGGTGGGTACCGAGCCGGTGATGATCAACATAAAGCTGGCACGCCAGTGCTTTCCCAGAACTACTTTTTTTTAGGGTTCATCATGGCCAACAATCTTGCATTGCTTTGCTCTGGCCTTTCCCTTGTCAGCCTCATGTACGCTGGACTGACCACCATCGACCTCAGGATACGTGCGAAAGCATTTATCCTCTCCATCGTGTTCCTCAACAGCTCAGCCCGAAGCCTGACAGCCGCATTTTCAATTGGCATATACGCGGTGTTGGCTCTGGTTGACCGTACATATGTTGTTGTTACAATGGCGTTTAGCACTGTCATGCTGCTTGACATTGGTTGGTTTGTGTACATGGCAACTGCAGCCCAATTCGTGCATTTTAATAGGCTTGGTATGAGAGCATGCTTGCGGTTTGCGTTTACAATGGCAGCCACCCTTATGGTGTCTCTCTGGCCATATGCATTTACTATCATTTTCTTGATATATTCTAGAATCAACGGAGTCCACTAAGCCTTGGTAAAGCGGTCAGTCTTGAAGACAAAATCAATTAATAAAGTTGATACGTTAATGGTATTTTATTTTGTTCGTAGAATGTTTAGTAATTGTTCTATATACGTGACCTAGTTTTTCTTCCAGACCTAATTTGTAAGGGTCATCTTGTCATACGGAGAGTTTGTAAACTTTAGTACTACATTGTATGACTCTGTTGATGAGTGTTGTCTCATTATTGTGTTCAGCACTAGCATTCTTATCATATACTCCCACCATTCACTTTTGTAAGATGTTCTAACCTTTTCTGAATCGGATGTATATAGATGCGTTTTAGCGTGTCTATTCAATCATTTGAGTATGTACGTACTCCATATTGAAATTTCCAAAAATCTTATAAAACTGAACAGAGGGAGTACTATTTATCTTCCCTATCTTGTAAGATGGAGTAGGTTTTTGGCATTGAAACTGCATGGTTCAGTCTTGGCCGGGTGATGGTTTTGTTATTTCAAACCGGGCTCATCTCAAGCCTCCCTTCTCCATAATCCGCTCATTCAGTTTGTATTGGCAATGCTCTTGGTAGCACGCATGACTAGTCAATATTGCGGAAGTGAATCCCTCAGGCTTAAATATGGAGGGAAAGTGGGTTGCAATCTTTTTATTTTAGCCAGCTAAGTCTTGAACTCAAGACCTCTTGGCTCTTATACCATATAGAATGGTAGGCATAAGCCAGTTCACCCAAATGCTCAAGCCGATGGGAAAGCATGGGCTATGCTTTTATACGTCGAAAAATGCTACGATCAACAACACATTTCTCCACTAGCTCTGCAAATATCTTGAGGCACTTGAGGGTTGACAATCCAGAAGTATAGGGGATCGCAACAATTTCTGAGGGTAGAGTATTCAACCCAAATTTATTGATTCGACACATGGGGAGCCAAAGAATATTTGCAAGTATTAGCAGTTGAGTGGTCAATTCAACCATACCTGAAAGACTTAATATCTATATCAAGGTGATTAGTAGCAAATTAGTATGGCAACTTGATAGTAATGGTAACAGTAGAAGCAGAAACAATAGCAATTTTGTGGTGATCATAACAGCAGCAACAGCGAAAGTTACTTAGCAAAGGTCAATATATGGAAAAGGTAGGCATTGGATCAACGATGGACAATTGCTTTGGATAATATTCATCGTGTAGCAGTTATAACCTAGAGCGATACAGAACTAGATCTAGTTCATCAATGCAATGCAGGCATGTATTTCGTATATAGTCATACATGCTTATGGAAAAGAACTTGCATGACATCTTTTGTCCTACCATCCCATGGGAGCGGGGTCCATAAGGAAACTAAGGGATATTAATGCCTCCATTTAATAGTGAACTCGAACAAAGCATTAGCAGTTAGTGAATACACGAACTCCTCAAACCACGGTAATCGCCGGAAAGAATCTCAATTATTGCCACATTGCAGTATGCGGATAATAACTCGTAATAGGTGCACATAACTTGCAAGATAAGATCAGGAACACACATACATTCATGAAAACATAATAGGTTTATATCTAAAATCATTGCACCCGGGCCCTAGTGATAAGCATTAAGCATAGCAAAGTCATAGCAACATCAATCTCAGAACATATTAGATACTCGGGATCAATCCCTAACAAAACTACCTCAACTGCTAGGGAAAAGCCTACTTTCGCGCGAGTCTTTGGTGTATCAGTAGCGCGGGCACCCGCGTTACTGATACGGCACTACACCTAAAGTCTGGTAGTAGCACGTTTTGACACGCGCTACTACTGTTCCTACTTATCAGTAGCACTTTCTATAGCAGCGCTACTACTAAGTGCTTTAGAAGTAACATTTTCCTGTCCAACGCTAAAGACCGCTACTACTATATTTTCTCATATCTTTTTTTGCTATGTATTTGCGATGTTTTTGTATAGGTTTTACAGAGTATTCTAATCATATTATAAACATGCAATATGCTCATCATATCATACACATAATAGTCTCATAATATCATCCAACACAAATCATGTCATCACATCATAATCACGATATAGCTATACAAGTTACATGACATGTCTCATCATACATAATGTAGTACTTCTTGAGGCGTCGGTTCGTATCCCTCTCTCGCACTAGCGTGAACCTAAACTAACTATTGGCTGTCGCTCGGAACCCGGTACACCTGGGCCTGACACTCCGGCTACTCGTCGTATACTCCCGGCGTAGCACTTCTTTGACATCAATGATCTATGCACCTTCATCGTCACATGAGTCGATGATATGCAACATATATAGTTGAGCAACAGAAAGAGACAGACTTGGCAAAAATAGAAGCAACATATCATAAGCATAAATAACAAAGTTCATCATACCCAAAATGCCCTAACTAGAGTGATCTTCGCTAGTTGAGGAGGACAGTTTAATTACATCAGAAATGAAGTTTCGCCGTGCATAACTCAAAGTTTCGTCTTACAGAAAGTATGGACTAAACGGACACATTGTCATATATCGTCAATCACTCCAAAATGTCGTGCCGTCCCTCCAAGTCAGGGAGATAGTCCCCGAGCGCAGTGAAAGGCTACAGGTCGAGACGCTGAGCAGCTACGGGTATTCGGACGTCTTCCGCGACATTTTCCCTTCTTCGTAGAACATCCCTATTTTTTTGAGGACCTCCTTCATGATGATTTGGGGAAGTTCACGCTGGATGTGATAGAACTCAGCTTGGAGTCGATGATCCGGGATATCTCATAGGTTCTTTGCCCATTGCAGAATATGGGCATCACCGGATCTAGGTGACATGCGAAGGTTGTGCTGATCCCGTCTGTACTCCAGCTTGTGGTGGAGGACATAGAATCCATCACTGAGAGTACCACTCGGTTGCTGGATGCAGCAGAAGTCGGTCTTATGGCTGAAGTCGGCCTTGTGTGTAACAGCCTGATTTTTTGCCTTTACTTTTTCTTTTGTTTTTCTGAGGTTTTTGCCTGAGTTTTCCTTTTCCATTGCTTTGTGGTCTGGCAACTGAAGAAGATGCCCTCTTCTTTGTTTCCAGAGTGGCTTGTCACACCCAAAATCCTTCCCTAGACCTTTCCATTTCCACCTTGGACCAAATCCCAATATTCTTTTTATTGGGAATATTCCTTTTCTATTAAAGGAATTATCCTTTTTGCCCTAGGTTGTGAAGCAACCTATATTTCCATCACTCCTAAAATTCCCAAATAATTCTCATAAATTGTTTGGGTCATATCTTCCTCAAATGTGGCAAAATATTTCATTTGCCATGTTTATCATCACCCTCAAATAATTCATTTCCTATTCTGCCCTAAATGGCATCTTTTCCTGTCCATATCATTGCCACATGCCAAAATTCAACCTCAGTTGCCTAGTAATTATTTAATTATGATTTTCCAAAGTTCCTGTCCAAAAAGAAGCTTTGTGAAGGAGGTACAATCTAGGCATATCCAAATGAGTTGCCATTTTGCATGGTCCTCAATATCATCATATCATAGCCCGCCACCAAAGTTGAGCTCATGCCATGCCTCCGTGTGAGCTCATCTTCAATTCTTAGTTTCTGTCCAAATTTTCAGTTTGTGAAGCAAGTATATTTTATCTTGCTCCACTATGGCTGCAAATTTTTCTAGGCTTTCTATTATCCATATAACCTATCTCCACCCATTTTGGGCATATTTAATCAAGCCATTATTCCTCTAGAATTTTTGCAAGTTTCTATCCAGAGGAGATGTTTGTGAAGCAAGTACCATTTTGGCTTGGACAATTGGTATGAGACTTTTTGAGCATCTTCATAGGACTAAATGGCCCTGCCTTGCACAATTTGAGCTCAAGTTGACACTCCATGTGAGTGCATCCTGTTGAACAAGTTTGTGGACCATTTTGGTCAGTTGCAAAGCAACTATATTAAACATTGGTAATCTTCTCCTCAAAATCCCCAGGACTATGGTCCTTCCTAAGTTAATCACCCCAGACAAACTCTTTTGCTCCAACCAAGTTCCTGTTGACCACCAGTGCACGTCCAAGTTTACTGCAGTAAACTTCAGACGCTGATTACCATTTAACCACAGAGTCTTTAACCGAGATACCACCGCAGTTGAAACCGCCCCAGGAAGGACTAACCCCCAGACATCGTTTGGCATAGCTTGTTGCACTGTGTGCACCAGTGCACGCGGTGACCACCGCTTTGGCATGCAGTGCGCGCGTCCAGAGCGTCTTCTTGCTCGGTCCCCTCCTCTGCTTGGCGTCTCAGCAAGCACGGGCATGTCCAGCATGTTCCTCGTGTCGTCGCCGTCCTCCTAGAGCCATCTCCCCCTCCATAAGCCCTCCGTCAGCGCTCGTCGCTGCGCGCCCACGGGCGAGCTGTAGCCGACCGGCTCTGTTCGCGCCACGGCCTCTTCCGCCTCTTGTTCCCGAGCTCTGCTCGTCCCTGTGCACCTCTGTAGCTCGTCCGCACCTTCCCCGTTGATACGTCCATTTTGCATCATGCTTTTATATCGATATTTATTGCATTATGGGCTGTTATTACATGTTATGTCACAATACTTATGCCTATTCTCTCTTATTTTACAAGGTTTACATAAGGAGGGAGAATGCTGGCAGCTGGAATTCTGGGCTGGAAAAGGAGCAAATATTAGAGACCTATTATGCACAACTCCAAAAGTCCTGAAACTCCACGAAAGACATTTTTGGAAATAATAAAAAATATCCAGCAGAAGAAGTTCACCAGAGGGGGGCCCACCTGCCCACGAGGGTGAGGGCGCGCCCTACCCCCCAGGGCGCGCCCCCCTACCTCGTGGGCCCCCTGTTGGCTCTCCGATGCCCATCTTCTTCTATATGAGGTCTTTCGATGAGGAAAAAATAACAAGCAACCTTTCGGGACGAGACTCCGCCGCCACGAGGCGGAACCTTGGCGAAACCAATCTAGGGCTCCGGCAGAGCTTTTTTGCCGAGGACACTTCCCTCCGGGAGGGGGAAATCATCGCCATCGTCATCACCAAT